CTAACAGACGTGAAGTTCTGCACTCCTTTTTTAAAAGATTTGAGGCCATGGAACTTGAAGGACGGCCTCCTTCTAAGCACTTGCCTGTCGTTTAAGGTCTGTTTTGGAGTTCTTGCACCCCTTCCATGACTAAGAGATGTTAGGCAGGTGAGGATATGAGATGGTACCACCTTGATCACAGAAAGGTGTGAGAGTCAGGAAACCACAAAATGATTAGTAGTCAGATGAAAATGGTTCTGGACATCTGGGGAACCCCAAAGGCCCAGCCTGGAATTCCAGACAAACCAGATTTGTCCTGCATGCCCAGGCTGATGTACCCTGTTGTATACTAATCGTCACCATCATCAGGAATGAGCAAGTGATGATGAGTTGGGTCCTGCAAAAAGTAGGACAGAAATATTCCAGATGTGTCACACTGAGTATAGATCCATTGAAATCAATCATACTTCAGTTTGATCGAAGTGCCCTGATTTCAACAGGGCTACTTTATGTAGGATACAGTCTGGAACTACTGCATTAGCTCCAGGCAGGGTCAATGGATGTGGACTTCAAAATGTCCTTTATTGTCCCAAGAACTGGCCAGGTATCTATTTCTTAGATGAACTGGCAATATTAAAGAATTGGCCATCTCAGGTGTTCACCATCGTGTCTAATTGCATCACAATGCCATGGTCAGTCCTGACATCCCAGTGCATAAACCTGGTGCAGCAGAAACCACTCAGCAGGAAATGCATCGGCTTTACCGAAACCATCTCGTCTCAAGCCGTTTTTGTCGTTCCACAAATCCTTTGCCAGTAACTTATACAGCAGCCGTTGGAACCCCTCCACTCATGGGTAGGGCTCTCAGGAAAGTAGCTTTTGGCATGCAGCTGTGAGGAGGAATATTATTTTCGGCATGTGGTAAGAATCATGCTTTCTCATGTTTTTTAACCCATTGGAATGGAACTTTTTCAGTCACATCAGAGTGCTGCTGATAAGGCTAATAAGAAGCAGAGAAATTCTGTGATGTCCCTCCATGCCCCCACCACTTCCCCCAGAGATTATGACTGTGTGACCGGAAACCCATCTGGTTCCAGAACTGCCACAGTGGAAAAAGCTGCAGAATACCATTGAAGTATGTGAGGCGCTTGTAAGAGGAAGTTAGAAACCGCCACCCGTGGCACCAGAAAAATCTCTTCCACCGCCTTGGTTTTGCAGGGGCAGGGTAAACAAAGCCACCTGTGTTCTAATTCTCCAACAAAGCTGCTGCTTCTCCATCCCAGCCTACTCCCAACCTGGCGTCCTCCAGAAGTTTTGGTCTAACACTTTCATCAGCCCAAATCAACAGAGAATACACATTTCGGGATATCCGGTCTACTCTGTTTAACTTGTTAGTGGCGCTCCAGGACCTTGGGGAGAATTAGTTGTCACCTCCTGCTCCTTTATTTTTAATTTTTAACCAGGCCAAGGGAAGCTCTTGGGGGAAACGGGTTTCTGTGCTGGGTGTCCAACCCTCTGCAGGCTGGAGGATGATGCCCTGTATAATTTGGAGTTGTGGGGCCTGAACCTGCAACCTTCAGCATGCAAAGCAGGCACTCAGCCTCCAAGCTACAGATGCTGTGGAAAGTGTACGTTCTGTTTGTGGCCTTAGGAGAGAAATCTGCTGTAAAGGAGGGCATGAGCCTTTACTATTAACATGCAAAAGGGAATCATGCTGGGACTGCTCAGCTCCTTTCTTCTGGAACAGCATTCCTCAGCCCTGCACCCTCCAGTTGGCCCACTAAGTCACTACTGGTTCTTACCACTGTGGTTAATGCTCAGGAAGCCTGGGAGTTCTAGTATGGAGAGTGATAGGTGGGAAAAGCTGGCCCAGGAGAGCAATCTGCTGTGTAGGGTCAGGGCTGGGGGTGGCTCAGTTCCTCGGGAGTGAGGAACAAGGCACTGCATATAGCGCTCTGCTTCCAGAGCATTTAATTCCAAAAGACAAAGTTCTTGCTCCCATGGCTTGCAGATACAGGATTGAAAACATGCTGGTGACACCAACTGAAGCAACAGACTCCAGCAATGGAGCTGCTTAAGATAATGCCAGTGCTCTACAGCAAAAGAAACCAGGACAAACCATTATGATTTGTGTAGGGAAGAAATTCAGTCCTTGGTGCAGAATTTAGTTTGGGCACAGCTCCTAATTTTGTTTTGTCTTTGTCTGGAGTAGAGAGAATGCTTCTTAGAATCATGGCTTGCTGGATTCAACATTCATCAGAGAACCCATGGCTATAGCAGTGTGACCAGAGGTGGGGGAAGACTGTATGTTTCAATTGGTAAATACTTTATGTCCAAGTTTTAGGTTGTGGAGAGGAAAAATAAGATAATCAGGTGAAGAAAAAGACCTAGAAAAAGATGGGAGTGTTGATGCAGTAAAGGGAAACAGTGATAATAGAGCTATTAGACGGAATATATATTTAAGTAGAAACCTGCCAAAGAAGTCCAACACAGTCACATTTGACTTTAAAAGGGAGAACTATTCTAAAATGTGAGTTCTGGTAAAATGGATGTTGAAAGGAAGGGGGGCGGTCTAGAGGGTTAAATCTCTTCCGAATGCATGGAAGTTACTGCAGGTCACAGAAATAGGAGCTCAGCTTGAATGCATAGCACAGGTAGAAAAGAGGGCACCAAATCCATGAGGTCAACCGCCTCATTGACAAACAGACCAAGGAAGCTATTCCAGAAATAGTTTACTTCAGCCAATGGAAGGAAAACAAAAGGGAGCAGAAGCTTGCACAAAGGAGACCAAGCAGATAATAAAAGCTGCAAAAAGGCACTTTGAGGAGCACATCACTAACAACATTGAGGCCAACAGTGCAGAAAAGAATTGGGAAGCCTGCACAGGATGCGGTTGGACCAATGGATGGCAATGGAATTAAGGTGTACTAAGCTTAAGGAAGGGACTGCAGGTGGCGCAGTGGTTTAAACCGCTGTGCTGCTGGGCTGTTAGATAAAAGGTCGCCGGTTCGAATCTGCACAATGGAGTGAGTTCCCGTTGCTCCGTCCCAGCTCCTGCCAACCTTGCAGTTCAAAAGCATGCAAATGCAAGTAGAGAAAAAGGTACCACTTCGGTGGGCAGGTAACAGCGTTCTGTGCACCTTGGTGTTTAGTCATGCTGGCCACATGACCACGGAGACTGTCTGTGGACAAACGGTGGCTGCCTCGGCTAGGAAACAGATGAGCACCGCCCCCGAGAGTCAGGCATGACTGGACTTAATGTCAAGGGGAAACCTTTACCTTTACCTAAGCTTAAGGAGACTGGAGAGAAACTGAATTCATTATTTAAATCTATCTTTACTGCAATATATTCAGGACAGATACTTGGGCCAGGATTCAGGTTTTCAGGAAGGGAGTCTGAGAAACCAAATAGTAGTGAGAAAGGTGGACATTCTTTATCTTATTAACAGATTGTAAGTTAATAAATCACTGTGACCAGATGGGAGCCATCACAGAGTTGGCTCAACAACCAAGCATTTGGTGCTTTCCTGGCATTTGTCTTGTTCTGAAATGTTGAAAAGTCTCTCCCAAGATTTAGTTACTAGCAATAAGGACTTTAAGCTAATATGGGCTGGTATTTGTGTCCCCATTCCTCCTGGTTTGCCTTTCCTCTGCCTCTGAGAACTTCTCTAACATTGTACTCCATGCCCCTATTTTCAACCACTGATTCCTGTCTATGCTGAGAGAGCCAGGTTGGGTCCTTTTTCCATGGACTGTTCAATGGCTGGATTGAAAAAGATCCAGTCCCTGTCCTCTCAGGTCAAAGGATCAAGAAGCAGATAATTGGAAAGACCTTGGTCCAAGGTCCTGGAGAGGGAGTTTTAGCCAGAGTAGACAAAATGGATTGTTCCTCGAGACTGTGTCCATTAGAAAACAGAACATGGCTCTTTCACCTTTTCCCACCCAGCGAATTTTCTGCAGTAAGGGAAAAGATGGAAGGAATAGTGCGGAAACAGGAGGGTTGAACATTGGAACCGTTGGCAAAATTCCATGAATGCGGCAGGCTGACTGCATGACAAAAGACTGGTTAGAAAGGGCCCCGAAGCAAGCTGACAAGAAGAAAATTGATGCCTTTGAAACATAGTGCTGGAAGAGAGCTTTCTAAATACCCTGGACCAACAGAAAGGCAAGCAAGTGGATCCTGGCTCAAATCAAGCCAGAGCTTTTCCTAGAAGCAAAAATGACAAAACTGAGTATATGCCATACTTCAGACACATCATGAGAAGGGAAGGCAATCATGGTAGGGAAAAAGGTGGAAAGCAAAAAAGAAGACTAAAAATAGGATGGATTGAATCCATCCAGGAAGCCACAGCCTTGACCCTGGGAGAGCTGTATGGAGCTGTCATGGAAAGAACATTTGGGAGGGGGTTCCTTTATAGGGTTGCCATAAGTTGGCGGTGATTCGATGGCACATAACACACATGTCCTGAAGGAAGTCAAGCCAAAGTATGTTCCACGGTGTAGTAATGAACTCTGAAGCTCATCACAACAGCTCCCATGACCGCATGCCCAAGGAGGTCGCAAACATAATCTGGACAGCAGAGATGAACCCTGTTAACAAACCAAAGCTAATGGGTCTTAATTGCCTTGGTAACACCAGGCTATTTCAAAATACTTTGCATTGTAAGCGTGAAAGCTCAGAATAGTCTATCGCTGCTGGGAAAATTAATTCTCCCCAGCTATTGTGAGGGTGGCAGCTACCTGCAGAGAGAACAAGGAAGACCTGGAGGGGAGGAAGATAATGTCATCTGTGCCAATCAGAAATTCTTGCACTTTGATCCTGGGAGCCCTGGCTCCACTACACCATGAAGGACCTTTCGGTGGAAAGCAGCTCCTTGAATTATGCCTTGGGCGTCTTTCCGTTCACTATCCTGCTACCTAGTAGGCTGAAGTGTTCCTGCCACCGGACAATGCTGAAATAATGAAGAATCAGTCGTTCCCATTTTTTAAAAAAATTAAATATAAATATTTGAATTCTGCAGTAGGCAAGATATTGAACATTTCCTCTCTTCTGTTATAAAGTACCACACATCCAAACAGGCATGGCTGTAGAATGCTTCAGTGAAATCCCATTCTAAGAGAGCAAAAAACGCAAAATACAAAACAAAGAAAAAGAAAACACAAAGCAAAAATTAAACCAACCCCAATGATTCTGGAAAGACCAAAGCAAAAATGTCAGAAACACCCACAGCAGAGAAATATGTTTAAGGCAAAAAAAGTAATAACAAGGAATAACTTATTATATTAAAAAAATCACACACACACATGAAATCGACAGATCCCATTGTTTTTCGGTTTCCTGCTTTCCCCCATGCTTCACTCTTGGCTTTTTAAAAATCGGGTTATAGTCCTCAGCACGATGCTGTCATTTGGATATTTGCACCTCAAGAGTCTTTCCAGGTCCCGTACTGGCGTCAGTGCTGAGCACCACAGCCATCTCCCGATCTGGCTTGTGCAACTTGGTGATGTGCCGGTTATTTGAATTAAAGGGTTGGGTGGGGATCTAGCTGCTTCTGTATCCATCAAGAAGCCCCTCCACAGCTAAAGGGTGGGGTGGGGGGGAAGGAAGAGGGAATTATTTAAACCACAGCAATCAAGCCAGGAAAATTAAAATGCAAGCACTAGCGCCCATGCGTAGAAATTTCCCAGAATCATGCAATGGCAGGAGAGTTTCGCCTTCATGGTAGGAGATTGCCCTTGGGGCAACCCAGGTAGGGAGCCCAGAACAAGCATCACATAGTTCCACTGCAGAGGCTTACAGCACAGGATGGTGCACCTCCCGGCGCACCCGCCGGCTCCTCATGCCTGTGCTTTTGTCTGTCAAGCCGCAACATCCACCATTTTGATTCCGAATTCTTACAGGCTCAGACCAGCCACAAAACAAGAGCTTAACCTCCACTTCCACCCAGGAGTGCATTTCATTGCTTGGATCCACCTCATGTCCTGACATGAAGGCAGATGATCGTTTGGCTTCCTCCCAGTCAAGACAAAATGAGGCCAGTTCCAGTTGGGAGGTGACAAACAAGCAGGCCATTGGCCATTTTGGGTCGCTGCTGCTGGAGGCTGCGGAATTGCCGTTTCCCCGCCACCTTCCCCGGAAGATGAAAAGGGAGCATCCTCTGGACAAGGTCAAGACATCAAGTCTCATCACCCGGCTTCTGGAGTCTGTTAGCCAAAGTGGAAGTTTGTTCCCTTTTCTCTGGAGCGACAGGAGCTTGGCAGGGGCCAGACACGAGTCATACGTGTGTCTGCATGCGCTGCTGAGCGGGGCGGCCATAGTCAGACTGTTGGGACAAGGAGGTGTAGGAGAAGCGTGAGCACCCCGAAGCCTTGCTCGCCTGATCCGACGGTTCGTACCCGCTCTCGGCCTTCTCATAGCTGCTGGGCTTGACGTAACTGGTGAAGGCCCGGCTGTAGGGGGCTGTGAGGTAGGCCGTCCCGCTGTATATGTTCTCCTGAGGGAAAAGTCGCTCGTGGGGGTCATAGCCCGAGCGGGAGCCCGGCGTGCCCAAGGTGTAGCGGTGCGTGTATTCGTACAGCTTGGGCTGCACTGGCCCTGCAGAGGGGTACAGAGAAGTGGCCCCAAACAAAGGTCGGGGGGCTGGTGTGTATTCAGAGAAGCCGCTTCCCAGGCATGGTTCCTCATGGGCCCGTACTTTGTAGTAGCCATTGGTGGGATCCTGAGAAGGAGAAGAGGAAAAGCATGAAATCCCATTGGAACAAGTTTAGTGCATCTACTCCAAAGAATCTGAAGAACAATTTACAGTGTCTGGGAGCCACATTCAGCCTTCCTGAGACCCTCTTCCAACCCTCTCCATTTCCTCACCCCTTTCTCTAAAGCACTGATCATTTCCTGGCTTTCGTACCGCTTCCCCACTCCGCTGTCGAGAGGCTGAACTGGTTCTCCTAAGGCCCTGCTGGTGACTGTAAGAGCGTTAAGCTCAAAGATGCCGGCACGTGTGCCCCTTGAGCCCCGCCTCACTTGTCTTTGGCCCCACCCACCGCTGGCTTGTGACCCCAAAGGCAACTTGAGAATGGAATTCTGCCCTCAGATCCAGCTTCCCTGGGTTGGCCCTTTGGACCAGGAGTGGGGAGCTCTGAGTTTGAGTCCCCAGTCAGCCTTTCAGCCTAACCTACCTAACATGGTTGTTTTGAGACTAAAATGGAGATGAAGGAGAAGGAAAAAACACTCTGAGCATCTTGGTAGGAGGGATAAAAATGTAATGCAATGCAATTAATGTAATGTAATTAATGTGATGTATGCTTGCTACATGGTGAAGGCAGGCATAAGATTAACAGGTTTGCCACAAAATATGACAATGGTCACTGGCTGAGATAGCTTTAAGAAGATAGCCTCCAGGCTTAAGGCAGTCTGCCACTAAGAATTAGAAGTGGAGGTGAGCCAGAAGAGGTGCCTTTGCCACCATCTCCCTTCTTGTTACCATCTCTGAGGCCTCTGATTGGACATATTACTAAAGACAGGATACTGTAAAGGGATGAACCTTTGCCTTGATCTAGGAAGGCAAATTTTACAGTCATGTGACTTTTTTTAAAGGGATAGGGGGTCCATATGGCAGCTGGGACCTTCTAGATGCTTTGGCCTACCACTCCCATCAGCCCCAGCCACAATAGCTAATGTGAAGGATGATGGGAGTTACAGATCAAAATATCTGGAGGGCACATGGCAGTTTAGGCTTTGAAACTTTCATGAATCTGTATTGTGAATATATATTTGGAAGCTTGCTTTAGGGGGTTTGACCCAAAAAGGTGGTCTGGAAATATTTTAAAGAAATGAAACAGAGGAGACAGCAATTCATCCTCTGCAGTCCTAGCTGAGCTCACCTTCAGCTCTTGGCTCCCATCGTCATCCTCTAGGATTTCGCTGTGCTCTGTGTGGGATGTACCCGGAGACTCGCTGCTTGTGGCCTGGAGGGGATGAAGGGGAAAAGTGAGCATGGTTCAGGGCTGACGGATGCCCCAGGACCAACATCTCCTCCAGTTGCACCCCACTTGCAGGTCTGGAGGGCACCCCACTTTTCTCCATGTTAACAATGTCCAGGGGCAATTAGCTCAGCTTCTGCAGCCAAAGCGGCTCCATCCAGACACAAGAATGGGGCATCTGTGGGGTTGGAGGACCTTTCAAGGTTTGCAGAAAGTAGGTAAGGGGGTTCTTCCCCAAGGAGTCAATGAAGCTTCCCAGTGGAGTCTGGGGGTGCTTGGAGGGCACAGAATAGGGAGTGGGTGTTGTAGGGGGATTAGTGGTGCAAGGAGCAGTTGTCCACCCCAGCTGCGCTCACTTCTTCAAACCCCGGCTGAGTCCCTTTCTGCCTGCCTCTCTCTGCACGGAGAAAATAAGAACATTTGTTAGAAGGTGGGGTGGGGGATGGTGTCCAGGCAGGGCAGAGCTTCAAGGGTCAGGCTGCCCCAACATCATCTGACCCACTGGTTTGGGCTGGGGGGTGGAGATCAGGTCTCCTGACTGATCTCCACCTTTCTCTGTTGCCTTTCTCTGTTGTACAGGCTGGTGGTGAGAGGTAGGGGGTCGTTCAGCAGAATGTTTTCTGTGGGGCAGCTGCTGTGGTTTGGGACAGCAATCACAGCTTCAGTGGTGCAGGTGGGTCATTTCAGACCCAGGTGTGATGGTCTAAATGCACCCCTCCAAGCTGAGATGGCCACGTGCCTTACTTTGGTTGTGAAGCCGGCGTTTTTCTTCCCTCCCTTGTCTGCTTGCCATTCCGTGCTTTAAAATGGATGCTACTTCATGAGAGGGTTGGAGGAACACCACCAACAAAAGTGTTTCCCAATCCTGATCATCTTCATCTTTGTCCTCTGAGCATGAGCCGTTTTGAGACTGGTTCTTAATTGCGGGACCGTTGTGGCTGAGGTGGAGCTGGCCTCGGCTGCCCTGATGGCCTCCTCACCTGGCCCTCCCTGAGTGGGCCCCCGTGGGCTGCAGGGCCCTGGACTGCAGCCCTAGGGTCCGGCCATAGCAGTGCCATCACTCAGGAGAGTGGCTCACCGGCTTTACTCACCATGGGCTCCTTGGCATCATCTTCTGCCTCGCTGGGCCTGCTGGGGCTGCTCTCGCTTGTGATCTGCACCAGGATGTCTGCTTTGGAGAGCTGCGTCCCCCGCTTGGCTGCAGAAAAGACCAGCACAGGCATCACATAGTGCCCTCTGCTGGCCGTGGCAGGAGCACAGCATCGCAGGCGCTCTGGCTGCACATTGCCGCCATGAACTTCACTGCTTGGGAGGAATCGCAGCACATCACCACAGGAAGAGGCTGGAGGTTCAAGGTTAAGTCAGGGGCGTCTCTCCTTTAAAAGACCCTTGGCCAAAGACTTGGAGCAGGGATGGGCACCAAGCGGGCTTCCTGGAAGGGGGCAGGGGAATGGCAGTTTGCTGCTGAACCTTGGTATCCAACAGTGCTGAAAGCTCCATTTTGGGGGTGGAGGTGGAGTGAGGGATATACCTATAGAAAACTCATTTCCAGTGTGGTGGCAGGACTCAGAGAGCTGCAGTCAAGGGTCAAAAGATAGAGAAGCTACTCCATTTCAGAGGAGTCCTCCGGGACCAGCTGCACTTGTGGGCAGGAACAAAGACAGAGTGGGTAAGGCTAACAATGTCTCTGATATCAGTGTGTTTGCTGCCTGGAGCTAAACCTTAGGAGAGTCATTTCAACCTTTCAGAATGGGTAGAAAAGGGTCCAGAAAAGATAGGGAAATGATTGCCATGGCTGGGGGAAAGGCTATGAAACCAGAGGCAAAGGTCATTTGGAAAAGGTGCATGGGAAGGGCCAGAATGGGACCCCAGGAGGGCCAGGTATGAGGGCCTCAAGCGAGCAGTACTCAGACGGATGGATAAATGGCTTGACCTAGTGCTGGGCAGCTTTCTATGCACCTGCTGCAAAGGTGTGGGCTCCTATTTGGCTTGTGTTGTATGGCAGGACTCGTTTTAGGGTTTCCCCAATTCATATTAAGGGGCTCGCCTGATGTAATGAAGTAGGAATCTTTGTCCTGTGACTCACTAGGTAACAGTTTATCGTTTGGTCATGCGTGTCTGGAGAATTCTGTCTATGCCTAAGAACAGCAAACAGCACCCAAAGGACTGATTGCACCTTGCCCTGGAGTGGTAGAGCTGGGTGAAGGCTCTGAACTGAGGAAGCTGCCTTGAAACAAATCTGGCTGTCAGGTATGGCGCTGTCTAGTTCAGGGGTGAGCAGGAGGTAGACCTGGGACCTCTGGGGATCTCTGGCTGGTTTGCAGGTGATCAGCCAGGATTTCTGGATCACTGCAGCAACAATGACAACAGGAGGACCACCTGCCCTAAATCACCTGCCCTAAATCATACGGTTGAAAAGAAGACAGCTCGGGGTTCTCAGCAGTGGAGCTTTGTCTGGAAGGACCAGGAACATCCTCTGCTTGTGGTGCAGAGGATCCCAAGAGGAGCTGTGCTGGATCAGACCAAGGCTTCATCCAGGCCAGCATTCTGTTCCCAAAGGGGCCGACTAGCTGTCCACAGGGTCCCACGAGCAGGATAGCGGTGCAGCGAGACCCTCCTGTCCGTGGTGCTCTCTTCCGGGGGAAGGCGGCAGAAAGGCCTCCTGCTGGTTTGGCCCCAGACCTGCGACTGCACAGGCCTCGCACTCTGCTGGACTATGCCCCCTCCAGAACAAGCACCTGCTTCCAGGCACCAGGGAGCCGCTACGCTCTGTTCGGTTTGAGCAGAGAAGACGTGGCAAAGCAGAGCGGGGAGGAGGTGCTGCAGGGAGCCACGGGATCCTCACCTTTCCTGCAGCGCTTGCGTCGGTAACACAGAGAGACGAAGACAACCAGGATGAGGAGCGCACCAACTCCGGAGGCTGCCAGGGCACCCAAGATGAGGACGGACCAGACCTCTGGTGGGAGAATTAGTCATGTTAACGTTTTGCCTGACGCGTCTGTTACAGCCTGGTGCCCTCCAGATGTATGGGCAACAACCCCCATCATCTCCCGCCCAAGGGAAGTCTGATTGATTGTATCTGCAAGCCCGACTTTTCCTCAGGGAGTTCAGAGCAAGTGGCGAGAGGCCATCCCATCCAGCTTCCACTTCAGCCACTCTGCAGTGGGGCTACGTTGAGAGGCAGCGATTCGTTGAATGGAGCTTTGCAGCTATGGAGCGATAGCTCCGACTCAGAACTCCCACCCTGGTGCGGACACAAGGGGGCTGGCAGGGGTGAGCCTTGGCTTCCAGCACCCCATCGGGATGCAACCTGAGGTAGCCTCAAAAAGCCAGCTCTCCGACAGTACACAATGGGGAGGAATCAGAACCGGGCCAGGCCCAGTGGGTGGAGCTGTCCAGGCTGCGGCCTCTGCCAAGGTCCCAGTGCTCACTGCTGGCGAAGGAGGGGCCTGGGGCAGAGAGGGGGCTGTGAGCAGGCTCTGGGCAGGAGTCTGATAGGGCCCAGGCAGGTTTACTTTAATGCCCTTCCTTGCAGAATAAGCCCTCCAGAGATCTTGGACTACCAGTCCCATCACCCCTGACCTTTGCCCATGCAGACTGAGGCCAATGGGAGTGGTTGTCCAAAGCACAGGCGCTTGGGGACCTCACAAAATGGCTGCCAGTAAAAGCAGTGCAGAATGTTCACGACCCTAATCCAAGGCAGAGGTAACCCTGAACTCCACCTCGGAATCCACTCTTTGGATCCAGTGCAGATGGTGCTGCAGGGCAGCCCTTTGCTTGGTGGCGCTGGGCCCCCAGCGCGTCCATGCACGCAAGAGTCCACGGGGGAGACCCCAGGCCCAGGGGATCCCTGCGAAGGCTCCCTGGTGCAACGGCACTGCTCACCTTGGCGGCGCAGGCTGACTGCAGCAGAGCGTGCTCCAAACCGGTTCCAAGCAGTGCAGTTGTAGGGGAGTGCGAAGTCGGCGTCGTGCGTTGGGTCGATCAGCAAGGCCGAGAGCACCCCTTGGTCCGTCACCATGGTGTCCACTGAGAAGCGGTCCAGCGAGCCAGCATCCAGCACCCGCTCTCCCCACGCCCATGCCTGTTGCGAGCGGAAGGAGAAAGAATTCGTGCCGCAGGCCGATGGGGAGCACATCGGCGAGCGACATGAGGCCTGCACATGCGAAATGGCTGGCCAGCCAGGCCCCCACTCCACATGCCTGCGGCCACTGAGAGGCCAGCTGGTCACTGGAAGGAATTGGCCAGACAAACCTGCTTATTTCCCCCATGCTCAGGCAGATCCTCTCTGTCTGTTTGCAACCCAAGTGCAGAAAACAACCATTGTCACCTGAATAGCTCATTGGATGTTAGTAGATGTCCTTGTGGAATGATTTAAAGATGCAAATGATGTGCTGGCCCATCTTGGGCTATGCTTACATGGGATGCTGGGAGAATTAGGGAGGAGAAGGTCAGTGGTAGAGCCCCTTTGCATACAGAAGGTCTTAGGGTCAACCCTTGGCATCTCCAGGAAGGACCAGTCCTACATAGTCCTTCCTGAAACCATGGCCAGCCCTTGCTGCCAATCAGTGTCGACAATATTGGGCTAGGTGGACCAAAAAGTGTGGCTCAGTATATGAGAGCTTCCTTGGTGCCTATGCATCGAATCTTCACTCGGAACGATTCACAGTTACATTATCCACTGCCTTTTGAGGATGCAGCTTTTGCTAGCACCATGAAAACACATGCAAAGCATCACGCCGTAGCTGCACTGCCTGAGAGAAGTCTCCTGCATGGGGACAGACTGGGACAACAGGACTGGGCAAGCAGGTTTAATTTATCCCCCTTTGTGCTGTTTCCTCAATTGAAAATTGCAGCCCTCCTTTGAAGCTGTTTGCCCCACAGGTATCATGGCACCTGTGTGTTCTGACATATGGGAAAGGTGTTTGCAATATCTGTGTGTATACATGTGATTCAAACAGGAAAAAATAATGCAGAGAGAAAATGTTAATTCCATCACGCAGTGTAGTCCAAATCCACACTTCATTTATTCCCAGAAGCTACATTTACCACTTTGCAAACTCTGGAGAGCACCAGCTACAGACATCCTGCTGTCTCATCTAGCTAGTGATTGCAAAATCAAAGACCAGAACCGTGAGCGTTCCCTGCACCAAGGAAAGTTGCATTCAGAAACCCATATGCATTCGACAAATTAAGCAATTTTACATGCAGGCATAGCCAGTGATTTATTCTGGCTACAGCCCTAATTCATTCTGCCTCTACTGGGCATGAGAGGGACCAAAGGCAAAATGCCATCTGCTGAAAGCTCCCCAGTCCATTGATTGGAAACTGCTCAGAATGCAACTCACAGGAACTGTAAACCTTCCATTTGGGCACCTGCAATTTGGTATCCTCCAGATGGTTTGGACTACAACTCACATCATCCCTACCTAGCACAATGGGGAGTTGTCATCCAACATATCTGGGAAGGGGGAGGATGCTGTGATGAGTTCTACTCACAGCAATCTCAAAAGGGTTCTGGGCAGATTAGTGCAGGAGGAGAGGTCCATCCATGGCTTTAAAAGAGGATGACACTGTCTAAGCTCAAGTAGGAGACAACAGCTGGGAGAAGATGGGAGCTCTTGGAAGCATCTGGGTAGCTACTGTGTGAAATGGGATGCAATGCTCAAGAACATCTGGTCAGACCCAGCAGGGATTTTTCTATGGGCCCATAGCTCAGTGGCGGAGCACCTGCTTTGCACGCCCAAAGTCCCAAGTTCAGTCTGTGGCATCTCCAAGTCAGGGTGAGATCATCTGTGCCTGGAGCCCTGCAGGCAATGCCTATCAGGGAGACCATACTGGGCTTGAAGGACCAAGAGTCTGACTTCTATGAGGCACCAGCTTCTATCCTGTAGTGGCAGGTCTCCATACTATTCCAGCCTGCCTCAGCTTCCAAGTTATCTCAGTGAGATGGTGAAATCAAAGCACGGTGCTGCGGAAGCGGGTTCTGTGCCAGCACAGAGAACAGAGGGACCATCTCAAAGCCCGGTTCTGGGACCTCACCTGTTGTCTCCTTGATGCCTTCCTCCTACTGAAAAGCCTTCTCCTACCTACTGCCCTCCAGATGTTTCCCCTACAACTCCCATCATCCGCAACCAGCAGCACAATGGTTGGGGTTGATGGGAGTTGTAGGCCAGCACTCATGGAGGATAACTGACTGGGGAAGGCTGCCCTGTAGAAGTCTGCCCGGCTGGCCTGGGTTTGGTTTTTCAGGGTCAGTGCAGGACTCTTTCTGGCTAACAGGGCAATCTTCGGCAGGTCCGCTCGGAAGCCAGCTCCCACTGAGCAGCCTAACGCTGTCACTGCTCCAGGGGTCTTCGTGGGAAGATGTGAATTTTATTTCAGACTTATTGTTCTATTAATAATACAGCAACATCAATGCTACTGAGACCATTTATTTTTTAATTGAATTTCATCCTACCAATAACACTTTTTATTGTTGGTTGCCCCTGTTGCTGGCTGCCCTGAGGCTTTTTAAAAACATGAGACAAAGGATATGAATTGAAATAAATAAACCTGATGGCATAAATGTCTGTGCCAGGGAGCCAAATGCTGGATCAGCAACTGAGTCAGAGTTTTGCCTCTCCTCCTTTAGGTCAGGCAGACTGAGCTGCATTTTTATTCTCATTTTAAAGGCACATGTGTTCTTATGCATGCATCAGTTACCGCCGGGATAGAGCTAAATTACTGCTATGTGTGGCTGCCGCTGAAGATGCTGGGAAGGTGTCCTTTGCAGCCATTAAGGGCTTCTTGGCACCTAGAACCACAGGATCATAGAACAGTAGGGTTGGAAGGGGCCAAGGAGGCCATCGGGTCCGACCCCCTGCTCTTGCAGGACACCATGTTACAACAAATTGACTCAAATGGTCAGAACATATTGCACTTATATTGTACTGGTTGCACTGGCTACAGGCGCATTTCTATGTTCATTCTAAAGTGCTGGTTTTGACCATTAAAGCCCTAAACCTGGAGAGGAAGACTGCTGGCCAGCTGAGGGTAGCTGGTTGGTGTATCTGCCAGGCTTGAACTCTCAAGGAGCTGTCCATGGTACTAAATGGTGGCACCCAGATTATGGAATGCGCTCCCTGGAGAGGCGCGCCTGGCTTCGAGTTTATATTCTTTCTGGCGCCAGGTCAATACCTTTTTATTAAATCACTAATTTAAAAATTTATATTGTAATTGTGTCAAACAGTCGCTTTGCTTTTGTCTTTTATGTAAATTTTTATTGAATTTATGTTTCTATACATGTGATTTTATTACTATTGTATTTCAGTTTTATGGATTGTGAGCCGTCCCAAGATGCCAAGGCATAAGGGATGGCATACAAAAGTTTTAAATAAAAAAATAAAATAAAAGTACTGGACAGGTAGAGTTCAGCACTAGGATAGCTCCTTAAGAGTTGAACTGGAGTGGATACACTGCCCCACGGACATGAGAGCCCCCAGCCTCCGTGCCTCCCACTCAGAGAGGGCTGAGCACCCTGCACAGGCACCATCCCCTGCCCTCTGCCCATCTTCCTTCCACCAGAGGGTGAGGGCTGCAAAGTGGAGCCCCTTCCTTCTCTCCAGTGGGCGCGTGGTGATAAACTGGGGATTTCTCCACACCACTTGGACTCAGCTTGTAGGAACTGGCTCCTGCAAGCCCCTTCCTATGCTGCTTGCACCCTGATGGAGACATCAACAGCCTGGGCAGATGGAGCCCCAGTCGCTTGCACAATGTTGTGCATGTCTTAAGGGCTAGAAGCTTGTCCCCAAGACTCAAGCATTTCTTAATTGTCAGATTCTATATCTGGTGCCGATTTTCCGGATGGAGCAGTGCCACTGTGAACGAGACGCAGTCCCATTAAGGCAAGGGACGGAGTCTTTGGAGGAAGCACTTACGATCCTGTCAGGAGGGGGGATGCTTCCCACCAGGCACTCCAGCCGAGCCTTGGTCCCCACGGCTGTCTGCTGGCTTGGCTCTGTGCTGATGATCGGTGGACCTGCAAATGAGGAGGGGATCAGGCTGGTGGTCCAACTCCAGAGGGGCAGGAAGACACCTGGCCTTCACCTGGTGCGCCAGCCCCCCTCTTTGCCATTTGAAAGGGCTACAGGCGGGGAGCCTGGCTTGACTGAAAAGGGACGATGCCAGGAGGGTGCGCACCCCAGCGCAAGACCCCCTTGGGAAGGCCGCCCTGCCCACCGGGCTGCCCCACTGCTCACCATTCACGGCCAGCGTCACCTCCTTCTCGGCCACTCCGATGCGCGGCACGATGGCTTTGCAGACGTAAACCCCGGCGTCCTCCTGCGCCACGGCTTTGAGGTGCAGCGTGTTGCCATTGCTCAGCACCTGCTGGTACAAAGTGGCCTGGCTGTGGCTCCCCAGAAACCGAAGGCATCTCTCCCGCCTCGTAGAAGTGAGTGAGGGTGCTGAGAGACGCCACTCCTCATACTGGAGGCAGTATGCTTGTGAACCCCAGAGGCGGGACGATGCCCCTGCCCTCATTTCTTGCTGGGGGGGGGTCCCCTTGGGCAGCTACAGAATGCCGGGCAAGATGGACCGGGGGTCTGACCCAGTGGGACTCTTCTTATATTCCTATTTTTTTGTGGGGAGGGGAAGGTGAAGGGTTGCTGTGCCAGCCTTTGGTGTGGTTTGCAATTTTCAAATGGGCATTATGTGGGAGTGTTGATTCCTGGTATAAATCACTCACTACACTCCCTGAAGGAAAAACCCCGTGAAACAAGGGATGGGGGACAGAAGCATGCAAAAGCCCCCCTTCCAGCAATTTTTGAGGAAACATTCCCCTGCCACAAGTTTCTCCTGTCCCCCTCATATTTTTCTGCTTTCTTACCTGCCACCCCCAGACTGCCAGTTCTCTCTGCCAGATCCCTTGTTATCCCTTTGCTCATTATGTTCTCTGCTGCTTGGATGACAGCAAGGCTGTTAATAAACTGCTGATGTGCCCCACTTACCACACTCGATCCCTTCTTGGTCCAGGCTAGGGTGAGAGGTGGATTCCCAGTCCAGGTACAGGTGAAAGAAGCATCTGCCCCCACGTCTACAGTGAGGGGCTTGGGCTGAGAGACAAGGCGGGGTCCGACTGCAGGAAGAACAGTGGAGGGAAGGGGTTGCTGAGAGCAGCTAAGAAACAGGCCTGCACATCAGGACGCTTCCTTCAAATTCTACCTCTGCCACCTATCAGGCCACCTTAGGCAGGATGCAATCCCTCATCCTCCGTGTCCTCTCTGCCCCCGTCTAGAACATGGGGATAGTAATACCCAGCTATCTAAGAGCGGGATATCGTAAGGATGATTGAGAGATGTATATGCTGTGCTTTGAGTGCCACAATGCGAATGACAGACAGGCTGAGCATTCAAAGCTAGACATCTCTTTTGGGATAGTGGAACTGAGGAAGGAAGCAGCAATCCTGAGCAAGTTTCCCTTCCTCTGATCTGCTTCCCCTCCAGCCGGGAGCGGCCTGCTTTTAAAAATGCCCTGATGCAAACCACTGGGGGGGCAGTGGCCTGGCATTCCGTCCAGGATGGGGTGGAGCCCGTGCCGGCCACCACTGTCCATCTTCAGCTCTGTGGGGAGGGGGCTGCCATGGTTTGTAAGGCCATCCAAACCCAGGTGGCTGAGGTTGGCTGAGGGTAAGAGAACCCTCAAGTAACACTACCAGTCCTCAGTTAATGCCTGTTTCCCTCTGGTTTGGAAGACAAGACCAACACTGGGAACCTCTTGCTGCGGGATGAATATTCAAAATAGCTTCTGGTATGGACGGCAAGACACTGCTTTAAAAACGCCATGGTGCAGACTGGACCATGGTCTCCATCCTTTTCCAGAGTGCCTATTTTCCAGGGCTGATGATGCAATATTTGTTTCTTTTGCCCATGAATACTGGAGGGAAGAAATGGGAGCAAAATGCAGGGATAGAAAAACCCACCTTTGTTCTGGCCTTGCCCATCACTGCCTTCAGCTCCATCCTGAGAGATTGCTCCCAAAGGATCACCAAGAAAAGATCGCCCAGCACTGGTGTAAACCCAGTTCTGCAACAGGGTCACCTTGTTGAACCTTGCTGCCTATCCCTCCATCTAAGGGACCTAGGAAATGGCCTTATATGCAATTAGGTCCTTTATCCATCTATTGCCAACTCTGGCTGGCAGCAGCTCTCCAGAGTTCCTGAGAGATTGTCCTTCCCTCTGCTTTTTATCCTATTGCTTCAGGTGAAGAGGCAAGGAGCTTGCCTCTGGCCCCTCCATATTCAAAGAATTGCTACGTAGCTCCATGCTGTGCCCTTGCCCTTCTCAAGAGCCAGGCTGCCTGCTTTACTCACAATGCACATCCACCAGTGTGCTGACATTGGTGCTACCCACGGCATTTGACACCTCACAGGACACAGGCTCAGTGAAGAAGGACTGGTCAACCGTTGCCTCGTAGCTGTCGCCGTTGGCTTCAGGAATGGGCACCCCTCCTTTCGCCCACCTGTGAAGACATGCGGGGCACTAGGAGAATCCAGTTCAGAGAGCCCCCTTTCAGGAAAAGTTTCCTTATGAGGGACTCCTCTAGGAGAAATGTTACACTGTTTGGGACTTTTCTGTATGACAAAATGGCAAACAATGGGGTGAATCAAGGGACACGATGGAGATTTATAAAATTATTCATGATATGGAAAAAGTGGACAGAGAAAAGTCGATCTGTCTCTTGCATAACACTAAAAGCCTGGGAGCTTTCCCATGAAGCTGAGTGGTGAGAAATTCTGGACAGACAAAAGAGATTTCCTCTGGAGTGTCGTATTGCTCCCCTTCTACCTCTTCTGTTCTATGATTCTATGATTTCATCACATGAACTACAAGACTGGCTCCCACAATATATCTTGATGGGCACTGGCTTGGGTGGCAGTGTAAGGGAGGAAAGAAATGCATGGGGAACAAGGGCTTGAATGGCAGCCAGTCAGGATGGTTTTGTGCTGCCTCCACAATTAACAGCAGCATGCATTTGACGGCCATTCATGGGAGAGCAACAGCAGGAGAGAGATACCGCTCTTGTACTCTGTCTGTGGGCTTTCCTTAGGCATCCGGTTAGCCATTGCGGGTACCAGGATGCTGCTCCAGATAGGCCCTCTTAAGCGCTTGTGTTTGGAGAAGGCTATAATCCCAGAAGGAGAAAGCAGAGCTAGCTCCCTGTCCTTCAGAAGTGGCCAAACCTACTAAGCATGCAATCCTCCAGTTTGCCATTAGGGGGCATCCTAGCCATGTCACAAGCAGACCATGTCTGCTTGCATGATCTTTGGAGAGGAATCTCCCGCTCTTCCAGCCCTTACCTGTAGCCTGTCACTTCAGGGTTTGAGGTGGCTGTACAGAGGAAGCTCACTTTACCGCCCTCAGGTACAGTTTGGGGTTGCACTGACAGCATAACGACAGGTGGATCTGCAAGGCAGAAGAATGAAATGGGCAAAACCTAAACAGTTTGTGTTCTTAGAATAAAAGTCCTACTGAGGTTTTCCTAAAGGCATGGTTTTCTTTCATCTCAAACTCAACCCTTCGTATATTAATGAACCCCTTAAATTTTCTTTCCTAACCTGGAGATTGTACCCAGCCTGTGCTGACTTGGATGTCTTACTATCTGTCTCTGCATTTCTTTGGGTCTCTTACTAGCTGCCTCTGTGCTGCCAGTTCTATACAATTCTGTGTACAGACAGACAGGCTATTAATGCTGAGGAAGGGCCAGATAGCTAAAATTTTACATTTGGCTTCTTCCTACAGCCTCCCTGCACTTTCTTAGTGAGTCAGGTGCTACCTTATTGGGCAGGAGAACTCTGCTCAGCACATCCCGCCGCCCCCTGACTTACATTGCACATTGAGGGTGACCGTGGTCTGCTTGCCGGCTGGGGCTGCTGGGTTACTGACGCGGCAGGTGAAGGAGCTGCCCATGTCCCGGCTGGCGGGGGTCAAGAGGAGGGTGCTGACCGCCAGCTCCCTTTTGCCATCATCCATCAGGGACTGCAGGGGAGAAAGGAGAGGCTCTGAACATAATCCTCAGTACTGATTGGAAGACAGCTCTCTCTCTCTCTCTCTCTCTCTCATACACACACGCAACCATAAGCATGCAGATGAACATGTCTCATTCTCAGTGCTCAACTGGAACAAGCAGTAGTATGAAGACCTAGAGACAGCACAGGCACGTTGGGGCTGGAAGCAGGAATTGGCTGCAACTCCCTCTGAAAGGGACACTTGGTGGCCAATCCAGGCTTGCTGCTGCATAGCGAGCCCCACAAGTGTTAGGAGAACTTTGCTGGCTTCCAGTCCATTTCTGAGCACAAAAGTGCTTGCTTTTACTGCTTTGTGCAGCCTTGGAGCTGCAGTGGTGCAGTTAGCTAAGGTTGGACTCGGGACTTGATGGCCATATGCCCTGCTCTCTGGCCAGATGTTGACGTGCATTCCTTCCCTCATTTCAAAATGAGGGAAACTGTCCTGCTGCATCTGAGAGCCCTTCTGCTCATTCTCCTGGAGGCGGCCCTGGACTTTTGCCCCCAAGTCCTGCCCTGATGGCTTCACAGAGGACTCAGGCTCCTGAAGGAACAGCAGCTCTCACGCCAGCACTAGCTCTCACCACCTGTGCATGGAGGTGTCTTCAGAACTTCTCATCCGCGTGTCTCTGCTCTCCGACATAAGGAAGATGGTGACCAAAGGGAGGGAGAACTTTCTCAGTAGGGGCATCCCATCTGTGGAACACCCTCCTCAGTGAAGCCAGCCTGGCACCAACATCAGGCACACTGTATTCAAAAGCATCTGGAGAGCTCCAGATGTTTTTGAAGAAGAGAAGCTGTTTTATGGTGTCTTTTGTATGTGTTGGACTACAGCCTTGGATGGGTGAAGTTGGGATTTGGAATCTAACACATCTGGAATGTACCAGCTTGTCTTAGCTCTTCCACACAGAGTTGCTTCTGAAAACAGCAGCCTTGTGTCCACCTTCTCCCTTGGAGTGTTTGTTCATTTGCCCAGCTCTCTCTCGAATTTGCTGCCCAACTTTCCTTTCCCCTTCTCTTCTTGTGTAGTGCTTGCCAACACGGCACACACGCTCGCTCACCTTGGAGTACACAGCAGACTCTTGCCGTTGTCCATCGCGGTACCAGCTGATCTCAGCGGCTGGCTTGGCACCTGTGGCACGGCATGTCAGGTTGTAGGGAATGTTGGATATCACATGCACAATCGGACCATTTTGTATCTCGGGGTCGTTGGGAGGGACTGGAAGAGAGGGGCAAAGGGTTAGTGATGTTTCTTCCATTGGGGTGGTAATAGGGATGGGGGAGAAATCTAACAGATTCACGTGAGCTTGATTTTCTAGTCATCTGACCTGTGGATTCTGTGGCAGACTAGCCTTTTCCAGGTCCTGCACGTTCCACAGACTGGTTTTTCATACTGGGAGAGATTTGTGCTATTATACATGAGGATGCACACATTAGGACTACACATACATGTGCAAGTAGAATTAAATTCAAGTGGAAAATATTCTGAATTCACTGTGAGTGGACCAGTAGAATAAAGGGCAACCTGACAATCTACCAAATGCGGACTATAAAGTTAGCCAAATCTGTACATCTGATTCAGCCAAATCTGTACATGTGGGAGCATGTACGTGCAAGAGACTCCAGAAAAAGCAAACTTCTCCTCACTGGACATAAGAGGAAAGTAGCATTTTATTTAAGCCACATCTGCCAAAGAGGCATCAATAATGATCTGAAGGCACATAAGGCATCCACCATGTTGAAGCTGATCAGTTCTTGGGCTGACATGAGTTTGGAGGAGAGATCACCTGAAAACTGCATGTAGCCACCTTGAGTTCCACAATGGGAGAAAGGTGGGATATGAATAAATAAGTGCACTGTTGGTTATAGAACAACCTGTCCTCTTCAGTTCTGCAGAATTTCCAGATGGTCTCCATTCTTCTCAGGAGAGTCAACAGAACCATCTCCCCACACCTGCAAACCTTTGGATTGCAGAACCTATAATCCTGCCTATCATAGCTGCCCACTGGCTGCCTATAGAATATGTGTATATTGGGGATCAAAAGCTGCAGGTGAAGGGAAGGTGGCCCATTTAGCACACTTTATTCTCTAGCTCTTGCTATTATCTTATTTCCTAAGTGCCTACAAACACATGGGAACTTGAATCCATATGGAACAACAACACACAGCCCCCTGTGTGGGTTCACACACTTGTGTACTTTTGCGGTAGGATGGGAAGGCAGCAGACTCAGCAAGAATCTTGGATCAGACACCACTGCGCGGAGAAGAAAGAGAGCACCCTTCACATTGGGATCTTGCCTCAAACCCTCTGCTACATCGGAGTGTCAGATTGAACAATGCTCTTGTTCAGATCAGTCCCCCTATGCTCGGCTGAGCACGTCAGTGCACCTTCCCCCTCTCACTGGAGGCTGGTGGCTCCAGTGTCGGTGAAACGGTATCTCTATTGTGGGTTCCAGCCTGAACGTTATGGAATCCTCCCAACTAGCTGCAGCACCACGGGCAGCTCCTCTGAAGGTCAGGCGAAGATGCGGAGTGGAAGCACCCCTGAGGATGCTTTTGAGCCACCAGCCCCCGTCCACTCCCACTTAGGACACTGCGCCTTCCCCCACGCCCAGCCCTACGTAGAGCCCTCCTCTGGGCTCACTGCTCAAAAGGGCACCCATCCCTAGCATCGTAATAGCTGCGCCTTGCGCTTTCTTATCAGCCCTGCAACATGTGCTTTGGATTTAAAGTGAACATGGGGAACTCACTTTTGCCAGGTTGGATTCTGTGTCTGGCTGGCCCAGAGTTGCCTCCTCCGAGGCAGAAAAGGATATTTCCTATTAGCTGCCCCCCATTCATTTAACTGGAGATGCCAACCACTGCACTGGGGGACGTTTGCATGGAAAACAGGACCTCTGCTACAGAGATGCAGTCCCTTCCCTAGATGGCATGCCTTGAAGAAGGTTACTGGTAGGAGTATTGCACAACCCTTCCCAGAATGAAAGGCCAGGTATGTTGCAAACCTGGGGGTGGGGAAACTGATGGCTGATGGGGAAACTTCCCAAGCTTTACTCAGCCTTGAAGGGAAAGAATGCAGAGCCAGCGTGGTTGTCTTTGGGCCTCTGGGACTACTCAGTTATAAGAATTCTCCACCCCGGCATGGTTTTCATTGATAGGTACTTCGATGGATGAACAGGGGAAAAGCAGAAAGTCCTCCCAACATAGGTAATCAGAGGAAACCAGAGGCCAGACCTGTTGAGTATCTCCCACCACAGAGCAGCTGGGACTGCAGGAATATCAGAAAGTTCCTCCCACTGGATCAGATCCTTGGGCCCTCTGGCCCAGTCATGACTGACTGGCAGTGGCTGTATGGGATTTCAGGCAAGATTCAGTCCTACCTGGAAATGCCAGGAATTGAACCAGGAACCTTTTGCCTGCAAAGCAGGGGCTCTGCCACTGAGCCATGGCTTGGAAACTCTTCAGTGTTGGAAAAAGAAGGGCTTGAACTGCCCTGGGTGCAAAGGGCGGCTCTGCCTCAGAAAGAGGAGGCAGGGGAAAGGAGAGAGGACTCACTGAGTACAGTTAGCTTTGCCCGTTGGGATCGGAGTGCTGCCTGCGTGGCCTGGCATTCATAGACGGCATCATCATCCAGCTCAGCATAGTCAATCCTCAAGTTGTGCTGCCCAGCAGAAGCATCTCCAACAATGGAATAGCGGGACCAGCCTGGGGTGAGGAAGGAGGGACAGGTAACTGGTGGTTAGTTCATGAGGCCCGGGATGAGAAGGCCCCCCTCAGTGCCCCGTGCCCTTTGGGCATCCTCCATACATTTGGGGGAATCCATGATCTCTGCCAGGGCTTTCCGGCTCTTGGGCTGCATGTGCCATGTCCCCTTGGCTTCACACTCAATTCCCCATGAGCGAAATGAGGGGCTGCCTGTGTTTTTCCTGGGATCCATCACAATGCATGTTGAAATGTGGGTTATCATGACATTTGAACCCAGCCGAGATAACAAACCATGGTGAACAAACCACAATTCCAAACTCAGCAACAAACCATGGGCTCTCTTCATAGGCTGGCTTCATAGTGCAGCTGGGTTTGAAGACCTCCATGTCATCCCCCAGATATGGTGGGGCTTGCAACTCCTCTCATCCACCACCACTGGCAATGCTGGCTGACGGATGGGGGTTCGATCCCACAACATCTGGAGGACCTCATGTTTGCCACCCCTGCTGTATGGTCAAATGTAAGGGTTTCAGGCAATGCAAGCTGAAGTGATCAGTAATCTCTGCAACTGATGCCAAATCAGCATTTCAGCCAAGAAGGTCCATGGCTTTTATCTCACAGGCATCACTCCAAACCTTTCCCCCAATACCATGATGGACATACCAGGCAGGTCTCTTTCTCCTCCCAAGGCCAGTCCATCCTTGGTCCACTGAACCATCCCCCGGTAACCCATAACCACACAGGCCAGGGTCACTGACTGTCCAGATACGATCACCTGATCCATAGGCTGTTGGAAGAAATATGCTGCCAACCCTGAAGAGAAAGGAAAAACGAAACAAAACAAAACAGGATTAGGTCAAGCCAAGTAGCAATCATAGCATGGAACCAGAGCTGCTGGGTCTTCTCTGCTGTAGCTTCAGAGCAAATATGCAAGAACCATTTCAATGCATCAGATCAACGATCTGTCTCCAGAGCCATTTCCAACAGCAGATGATCAGTTGTTTGGAAGTGTGCAACAAGAGCAGAGAACCAATGGTTTCACTGCCTTTGTGTTGTCCTTATACCTGGTTGAGGCAGGTTGCTTTTGTGGCAAAAAGCTACTTTCCCACTTGTTGAAGATCTATACCTCTCATTATTTAGGTTACATCCTGCCTTTTCTGCAAAAATGCTGTTCAAGGCTGCTAACAATAATAAATTACAAGTTAAACGCAACAGCTTAATTAATACACAGCACAAAGGCAGATCCATACAAACACAATTAAAAGCTCAGTGATAAAAGAAATAAACAGCACCAACCAATTAAATCCTCTTCCACAACAGACCAGCTTATATGTGAAACACATGCCTGAATTACATCTTTGCCTGTCTTCAGGGCAGCCATGAGGTCTCGCTCATGGAGTTGCTTGCTGGAGATCGTGGGTGCTTTGTGTGCCATTGTCATCCCCCAGGAGCCTTCCTGTGCTTTGCAACAGTTTTTGCAGGTTTTTTTTTTAAATTTTGGATTGATCATTTCTGGTATTATTTAGAAATGGTGCTATGAAAAGCACTTTAGCCAATTCTGCTACACTTCAGCGCCACTTTGTGGTGGTGTAAGGAATCACTCGAGAAAGTAGAGGGTTAAAAGCTTCAGGTAGAGAAGCCCTGAGAAATCCATCTCTTGTATCCCCACCAGACGTACCCCGATAATGGCAGGATTGAGAGAAGGGCCTTCCCCAAAGATCTTACGAGCTGGGCAGGCTTATATAGGACAAGGCAGTCTTTAAGGTAGCCTTCAAATGGCATGTCTTACTCCAGCCCACCCAGTCCAGGTGAGCTGCAGGGCCCCTGCCTGGAATCCTGGAGAATTGCCAGCAGACACTGCAGACCTGCTGGGCTAGTAGCACTTTCTCTTGCTCCTGTCGGCTATATTGGGCCGTAGCTCTCCTGCAGCACACGTGCTCCGCATGCATGCAAAAGGCCCCGGGTTCAGGCCCCAGAAGGACGCGAAAGACTCTAGTCTGGAACTCTGGAGAGCCTCTGCCAGTCAATGTAGCAGACAGGGCTTCTTTAACCAGGTGCCCTCCAGATGTGCCGGCTAATGTGTTGGATGACAACTGGCTGGCTGAGGCATGCTGGGAATCATCACCCAAAACAGCTGGAGTGTGCCAGGTTGGGCAGAGCAACAGCAGACGATGCAGTTCTAGATCAACCAGCCATTTGACCCAGATGAGGATTTAATTGTTCAATTGCCCTGCTTAGTTCACATGGTATTATGGGCTTTTCCCACCTCACTGTAGAAAGTCTGTTGAGGAAGATGGAAAACTTGCACAATTGGTAGCACTAGAAAGCGTCCAGCTCAAAGCACCTGGACGATGGAGCAGTTTCCCGCATCCCACTTGGCCTTCCCTCCCTCCCCGGGGTACACACACAGACACCAGGTTGAAACGGGTCTCTCCCATCCCAGCTCGTGCTTGTGGTGTGGACACCCTGGCCCAGGATATTCTCTCCAACTTTCCCCCTGCCCCCCCCCCCCCCCCTTTGCTTCCACTGAAGACGCGCGCACACATTTCTAAGGCGTTTCTCCTCGGAAGGAAGTCCCGCTATTCTCATGCAGACGCAGGTCCGGGAAGCGTGCGCGGGACCGCAGCCTTAGCCTGCCTCCCTTTGCAGGGGATGTGAAAAAGGGAGAAGCGCGGGGAAGCGGAGGGGAAATGCTGATGGAGTGTGTTCTCATTTTTTCAGGCGACGCAGCAGCCGCCCCCGGGTCCCTGGCTTTCGCCTTATCTCTCTGCCACAGACTGCTGAGGTGCAGGTTTGGTGAGCTCTGCACATGCCCTTCAGCCAAGAAAGCCTCCTTTCTGCTCTGCCCCACCCCCATCCAAGCGCTCGCTGCTCGCTTTCTCTCCCCCACGCCCTGGGGGCTTCTAGGCAAATGCATTAAAGAAACTTTAGGGATTGTGAGCGCCTGCATGCAAATAAATCAGAGGCTGCTAGCACACGGGCCCTCTGGGATCCTCTGCTGGGTTTGAGTGGAAACAGGAGCTGCTGGGCAGAGAGCAGGCGAAAGGCCAGGCATGGGTCGAGGGGTGGCGGGGGGGGGGGAGCTGGGGAGTGTGCAAAGAGATCGGCATATCCTATTACATTCATTTAATTTAGCGAGGGATTTATGGCCTACTCTTCAGCAGCATGCCCAGGGCAGCTCCACATGGCAGCTTCACACGTGCATCCCCTGGAAATGCAGCCGCGAGGCTCTTGCATTGTGACACAAACGCATTACAGAGTTGAGTTCTCCCGTGCGCCCCAGGAGCTGTGACTGATCAGGACTCCCCATCGCTTGTGCAAACAATGGAGCGGGTCTATGATCCTCCTTCCGAGCCTGCACAGAGGAGCCAGTTTGGATCGGGACCTTGGTGCTCAGCCAAAGAAGCAGGCGGGTCATTCTTTCTTCTCAGTGCCTTATTTTCAATTAACCTCCCCACAGCAAGCTGCGGTTTCCTGCGTGGGGCATCTTGTGGGTCCTTGAAGGCTTTGCTTGACTGGACAAACATTAGCTTCAAACAAAACTTGAACTGGGGAAATAGTATGGAGAGACAGCAGCACCCAGCACCCCACCCCAGTTCCCAGCAATGTGGTCCCAGGCTAAACTGGGCGGCTTCCTCTTGGCTAATCTAAGCACATTAAAAAATAAAAATAAAAATCAGGAGATCCTGTGTATTGTTCTTCCTATCATTCTCTCTTTGATCCCCAGTAAGCATCTTGGAGGAGACCTGATAAAGGCAGCACTGGATAGAGTGTAAAGAACATGTGGATCCCACAAAACAATGACCCTGAAAAGAACAAAACATTCCTTTGGCACCAAAGGAAGGGGGGAGAATTGGAGGAGGTCACAGGGCACAGGGAGAGAGACTTAACTCTTTCCTCCTCAGCTACACGCACACCTGGTCTGCTGGTTGCCCACACCTGACTAAATCTTGACGGATGGTGATGTGCATAAGCTATACTGAGTTTTAGGCTTAGACTCACCCCATGAGGTCAGAGGAAGATAGCAGAAGCCTTCACTTCTGCTTTTGGTTAACCAGTTTCACATGGCATCTAGACCCAGAATTGTGGCTATTCACCAGTTATGGTAAAGTCTAGAGAAGCCAATTTCCTAATCCATAGGTTTAAACTGGCTTGTCTGAAAGTGACCATGGTTAGCATTGGAACTAACTAGAGTTAATATTGAGACTAACCATAGTCAGTGTTACTAGCCACAAGTAACCACAACAAAACATGGTTACATAAAATCAAAAGTTAATGCCTAAAGCAGCAGGAGAAAGAGGGGTGGGGACGGTGTGCACCTGTGGCTTGCTACAGCTGCGCACATCCTGCTGACGCATGGCTTAGTGTGCCAGGTGAGTGCTGCAGTGATGCACACTGAAGTGAGAACCCGCTCTAAAAAGAGGGGTTTGGGACCTTGCAGAAGTGGCTCTTTCGTGCCTGTTTCCAGTGTGAAAAGTTGGTCCCATGCAACTGAATGCAAATGTCCTTCTAATGCATGTTGCAGTGGGGTCAGATTCCACCCCCCCCCATCTGTGGCAAAGCTGTTGCCCTCCCAGTCTGCCCCCTGCCCTTTAGGCCACTGGAAGGCTGTTAAGACCCAAGAGGCTGAAAGAGCCTTTACTGGCAAAGAGATCCCCTCCATCTTGAGGTTTTTATCTCCCCACTAAAGCCTGCTTAACTGCAATCCAATAAGGCCAGGCCTTTGTCCCATTGTTTAAAAGTTTACCCACTAAACCAGGGCCTGAATAGCAGGATAATCCCTTCAAGAGGGTCAAGAGAGCTGAGACATAGGGGGAGCGGAGACAAAGGCCTGGAAGAGAGTCAGAAAGACAGAACTTCCCCTCACCCTACCCGCCTCCCCAGCAGAACTAAGACCAGTGGATCCTATGGAGCAGTACCATCTAATGCTGTCTGAACCCAAACATCTGCGTTGATCCTAGGACGACCAACAGTCTCCCATGGAACTTTGTTTGTTTGTTTGTTACAGCAAAAAAGAGGGGCGTCCTTGAGCAGAAACCTGTCCTGTGAAATGCAGAGCTAAGAATACCTTTTCAGCTACAGTGCATTACTTGCAAAAGTTGTTGATATAATTAAAAGAGGAAAGTTGCAGGGACCGAGGGGGTGGGGGGGGGTAGGGAGAGGTGGCTACCCATATGGTGCTTTTATCTTAGTCCTGTGGAACAAACAGCTTCAAAGGAACTGATTCTTACAGGGGAAAAGATTAACTCCCCTCTTCCAGTGTGAAGGTCCCAACTGAATCAGCCCCCAGGGCTGCTTTGGACTTAGAAAAGACAGCAAAACCTGGTGCCTCGGCCATCAGTGGAGCTCTTTATCCATTGCAGCTTTTCTTTTCAGCCTGACAGGGCTGTCTGTGGTGCTCCACAGTGGCCAACCTATTTGGGAGATGGGATTTAGCACTAGCGGTGGCTCCTCTAAAGCTGCAAAGAAACACTGCAGTGGATGGGGAGCCCCCCCCCCCCAACAAAGGAGGCACCAGCCCTCCTTGGGAAAAGCAAACAGCTCCTGTTGTCTCATTTACTTGCGCAGAAATTAGGCTATCTGCAAACCCAACCGCAGGCATTCTACTTGCAGGCGGCCACCCTGCAACAGCCTGTCCCAGGGGCTGATGTCCCTGCCATTGCCCACGCCTCAGCACAGGGCCCACTGCTGCCACACAGCCCCCAGCACCCCCTGCTTCTGCCCCTCTTCCTGCTCGGTGCCACCGCCGGTCCGTCAGCCTCCCCAAGCATGCGAGAGAACAGGCAGGGAACGACTGCGCAGCGGCCCCGTCC